GCGTTGCGTTGCATCGCGCCGCGTAAACATAAAACCATGTCTGCATTTGTGATCGGAGAAATAACAAACAACAAGTGCTACTCTACACTGCTCAAAACTCGCGTTTGAATCATCAAACATAAGTTGTAAATACAACTTAACCACTGATTTCTAGTCGTGTCCTCTTTTGGAAGGCCAAACAAAGTAGTTTCGCTTCCACAACGAAACACACGGCGGGCTAGAGTGAGCGGAGGCCGGCTTAAGTGAGCGGCGGCGGACGGGCTAGAGAATGGCGCGGCCGGCGGATTCGACGAAGGAGCAGCCGGAGGGCTTGCGGCAACCACATGTGACGACCCCGGGCTGGACTCCGCTTCGTCCACGATACAAAATAATAATTAAAAAAATGCAAATGGCACTTGTATACACCTGTAAACTTTCTGATAGATTGTTAAAATATTTTTTAACAGGCATGGTGTTATAGGCCACTATTTGGCTGTTGAATCCACCTACTGCCACAACATGTGTCACACCAAACATCACCAGCTTCTCATTTTGGTTCAAGTGTAGTTTATGTCCCATGTATTCAGCATTATAGGGGACTGGATTCAGATTGTGTACTCCCTAAGAGTTCACAAAACAAGCTGCTATAACAACACTGCCCCTGCATGACAGTATCACTCAGGAATAAGCAATGATCATACATAATTAGTAAACTTTGACTTGAAATTATTAGACAACTGTATCAAATAACTTAAAGGCCTTTAAAACTGGGCGATGCCAACCTTTTGCCGTAATTCATGATATGGTTGATGAACCTGTCATAGTGCTTTTCTGACCCGAAGTTCACCTGTACATGTACATTAAGCCGAAAAAAAGATGCAAATAATGAACTAATAATAATTAAAGTAGTCCATAAGCTTACCTCATTTACAGCGCTGGCCACTGCCAGCTCTAGATGGCTATTATCAACGTGGCCTCGTCTTTTTATGCCATGTTCTCTGCAAAATCTGCGAACACTAATTGCAGAGCATTTTTGCACACCCATCTGGAGTAGGTGCGCAGAAATATTTTCATAATTCATATGATCATTAACCATGTTAATGATCATTTCTGCATGCCCTTCTAAACATGCCGTTGTAATCATTTGCCGCATCTTTGCTCCCCCTGCCGGTGACCTTTGCAAATGCTGATGAGAAAAGGTAGCTCCTTGGTTGAAAATAGACCTTTTTTACGATTTTCTTCATTTCATTTTTCACGTTTTAGTTTTCAGGTGTAAGATTGAGAAACAAAATATAGAAAAATGTACCGGTCCGTGTACTTTTGTGTCAATTCATTTTTAATTTTTTAACCATGACGGAAAAAACGAAAAAAGAATGGTTATTGTATTTTTAAATGCTATGCTGAAAACCAAAATTGAGATTAGAACCGTACACAAAATGCTGCCCGAAAAAGTAAAATATTGACTTCATTTCAGATTTTTGTTAATGAATTTTTGCTCTTTTAATAAACATTTGAAAAATGCACAAATTAATATAGAAAAATGTCGATTTTAACAAGTTTTCTTTGGCCAAATTTAGTGATGCTTCTCCCGCACGTTCAGTTGAGAACTAGAGCCGTCTTTGGAACAACGCAGAGACTTAATACAAATATGATTTTTAAAGAATCCTGGGAAATCTATCATGAAATTGTATATTGGGATATCATTTTGTCATAACTTTGTGTGCTATATGGGTACGTTATTGGAGAGAACCATGCATGGTCGCTCAATGCACGTACAGTAGGCTACATTGTGTTAGAGCGCTACACACGGTTTAATATATGGGGTAAATATATATATAGGCTAATATAGAAATATATAAAGTTATAATCTCCAGATACAGGCAGGCCCGGTTCCTGAATCAAATCACTAAGGGTGCTTCTGAAATCAGTGAGGGTGCTCTAGCCTTATACATTTTGACATATTTTTGCCCTGTTCACTGATAGTTCCATCCGCATAATGCCGCGTTTAGGCTAAACAGGGCTCTAGACTCATTCTTCCCACTGGTCGCTCTTTTGCAACTTTCTCAGTTGGTCGCACAAGCACATCATTTGGTCGCAGTTTTTTTTTTTTGCTACAACATTTCATTAATTAATGCATGCTGATGAACTTTTATCATAGTTTATAGTTATGAGGTAACTATTGTGTAAAATTCAACCCATTCTTTTTCATCAGAATTATTTTTGATTTGAATTTTGTGAACGGGAAGTCCTCTTTTGCTGTGTTATAAGCTGGACTTTGGACGCTTTCACTTTCACTTTCGAATTCGCGATCTTGGTGTCACATTTTACAAGAAAAGACAATTGTCTGTTTTGCTTATATCTATACACCTTTCACTTTATAAGACTAAAACAAAAGATCGATTCATTGTTAGTTTTAATTAAAAAGCACAACAACAATAAAACAGTAGGCTATACAAACTAGCTTACATAACGTTTATTAACAAAAACGAATAAGATGAGGCATGGCTCCACATGCTATATTATATACTGACTAATAAATTACAGAATGTTTAGCAAACAGTGAGGAATCAAATAAATAAAAAATGAAAAAAATGAAAGAAAGCCTCCATAGGGTAACGTGAGGTAAACAGCAAAGATAACAACCCTAACCCCTAAACCTACCAATCTCCACCCCCTAGATGTCCCCTAGATGGATCCAACCACGCCCCCTGGATCTTGTGTTTTGCAGTGAAGAGCTACTGAATATTTGCGTCATTTTTACCACGTGCTGTGGCCACCTAC